AATCACTGGATTAAAAAAATTTTCACGTATGACAAATTTTTTGCTTTTCAACAATTGTGGGGGTATAATAAAAAAAAGGTCACCAGTTTCGTTGTACGAGGACACATAAAGTAGCTCAAAACAGAATTAAGTAAAAATTAACACACGCACACTTTTCTCTCCCGCTTTTCGCACACGTAACGAAAAAAATTAGTATTTTAAAGCGCATATGATAAATGGGGAGTTTTCAGTCCTAAAAAAAAAAATATAAAAAAGCGTCCAGTTTTTTATGCCTCGTCTTTATTTCACTTTCATTTTGCAACAGCTTGTGTTTGCTGCGCTGCATAAACAAAAGTACAAACTGTGGTGGTCTGTGTGTTTCGTTTACACTTTAACCTATTGATAAAAAAAAATTTATTTCTCTACAAAAAACTCAAAAGACTTGTTATCAGTTTGAAACGATTTTTAACGAGAAACACACAACTACACACGCACGTTTATAATTTCTCTTACACACAAAAAAGAAACGTATAATCAATCACACTTACACTAGCTTTTTTTTTTTTTTTTTTAAAAAAAACCTCACCTTTTAATATAACTCTCCATTATCACCCTTCTTTTTACAAAAAAAACAAAAATCCTCTACTTATCACACCTCTCTTTCTTTTACCTCAAAAAAAAAAAATTTGGCGATCAGTGAATTTACATTTTTTATTTCTTGGACTATTCAAAAAAGATTCCTCCTTATTTTTTTTTTTGTTGAAGACAAGAAATAAGAAATAAACCAACACAATTCACGAAATAATTAACGAACTTAACGTCATAGTACAACTTATCTGTCATGACAACAACTGAACACATTCGAAATCCTTTGACTAATCATACAATGCCTTCACAGTCAAATGATATGCTCGGCTACGAAGTATATAATGATAGCTCCTCCCATGTTACGTGTTCCGAGGGGGAGCCTTTATTTCATGAAGAGACGGGAAAGTACGATCTGGACACCGTTTCTGTGTTTGTCGCAAAATTATACCAGTAAGTTGGAACATTTTTTTTATCCGTCTGAAGTGAGAAGGCAAGGTAAATCGACCCGAATGGGATTATGTATGATTGTTCTTAAGATTTATTCAAGAATTCATGAATATATTATAACATCACACAAAATTGATCGTCATCTTTCAATCGTTCTTTTAATGAAATTTGACCTTTTATATGCGATCTTACGCTCGATTTTTCCTAGTTTTCGATATTTAATTTGATCTTTGATAGTTATTCGTGACATTAACAATTGTTGATGATTTGATCTTTTTTTTTTTAATCTTAAATCTATTATTATTAGACTTCTTGATTGCGATGACTATAAAGAGTACCTTACGTGGAACGATACTGGAGATGTGTTTGTGATTTGTAATATGGATGAATTTGCTCAAAATGTTTTGCCAAAATATTTTAAACATTGCAAATTCACATCGTTCGTCCGACAACTTAACGTAATTATCACGATTCTTTGTTTTGTCAATCGATTCTTCTTTCAAGCTAAACTAATATACATATTTGTGTCTTAGATTTATGGATTTTATCGAGTTTCGGATGCTCGCAAATCAAAACATGTACGGAGCAAGAATGCATGTGTATTTTCTCATTCCCAATTCAGACGTGGTCGACAAGATCTATTGCCAAATATACGTCGCAAAGTATCAAAAACGCTCAGACGAAAAGCGCGTAACGCTGACTCTTCGTTATCGCAAAGTCATATTGGTGATGGAACAACGTCTATGCAAACTATTTATGGTTCCAGCTCAATGAATAAGGGCGGTAATATAAACAAGGATTTAAACGGAAATAATTCATTAAATATCTATTCAGAACAGAAGGATTTTTTGCTTGTCTCTGAAAAGTCTGATAGCGATGCTGTTATGCGTAAAAGAATATCTGATTTAACAGCAACAACGGAAAATTTACGAAAGGATTTAAAGCAGATGAATAGCATCGTAAATGATCGTTTGCTTCCGGAAGTTAGGAGTTTGACCGAAGGTTTACAAAAACATCACACGCATTTGATAGCATTGACACAATTGGTTACTTGCGCTCTTCCAGATGGTAAATATTTTAAGAGAGTCGAATATTATTGTTGTTGTTTTGTTTTGGTTCCTATAGAATGATAATCAACCGGTTGACTTTTTTTTTGCTCTCTAGGTGTTCAATTGTTACATGATGTAACAAGAGGATACACAAGACATATGCCATATGAAATACCGTCAAAGCGTATGCGTTATGATGACAAGCCTACCGTCAAAACAGAACAGACACCCGTTCCAACGGTTCCTTCTTCAAGGGTTCCATCAGCTTATAATTTATTCACATCAAATTCTGCTAATCCTAATAACAATAATTTAATGAATGGCAATAATTCTTCACCGACCCTCCAAACATCATCGGTCACTCCATCAACTCTTACAATACCGTCTGATTCGCAATCCACGTTTAATAACATAACAGGAACATCTATAATGGGAGAATTTCAACAAAGTCCTCATAATACACAACAAAATCTTGCAGGGTATAACGAATCGTGGAATAATGCCACGTCCGTGATGATATCAGATCCCGTCAACACCGTTCAAAGTTCCAATATTTCTTATAACATATTCCCAACATCGACCACCTCACAATCTCCAATATTATACTCACCTTCCTCGAATCAACAACATTCCCCACCACTTTCACATCACTCACAAGTACCCTCTCGATCCTCTTCGATAGTAACATTGAGTCCCGAATATGTTGATAACTCAGCAAATTCGAATGATATACTCAACAATGCTCCTTCTGTAACAAGTCCAACCCAAATGAACGCGAGTGGTGCGAATAGTCCGGTTAACCGAGGAGATGTTGTTGCACATTCCCCGACCTCAAGTTCTTCATCTCCAATATCCACGACCACTTCAAATAATTTAAATTATTACACTAATCCCATCATGCACATGGATATGTACGGCCAGAGCTTCAACTATAATTAGCTTTAATTTTAATGGGACGGATGATGAATATTAATTAGTATAATCATGGAAATAATGGTGGCGGTGATGTGAGTTTATTTTTAGGGTCGTTGGGGGCTATAATAATAATATTTAATGTGATATTCAAAAAGTTGGTTATCTCTTAATATAAGAACGTGAAGAAAAGGGGAAGCTGGCCCTATCCCTTTTGGAAACATTTGACGGGTTATCCGTACACTCTCCTAATTTCTTAATCGTAATGTACTCGAATCATTTTTTTTTAATTCTTTTTGTTTTTACCCCATTTATCATATACATATACATATTACATATATATACTTCAAGCGTGTGTGAACTTAATTTTCATGATATAATGACTGCAGAAGTTATGAATGTTTTCTGCAACCAAAAATTTTCTTTAACGATTTTTTTTCTTCTTTAAAAGAAGGCTATGACAAAAAAAAAAAAATTTGGCACGTGTGTGTGTTTTTTTGTTGTGGACTTTTTTTCTTGTACATAAGTTGTACACTGTAAAAATTCCAATCACCTTTTTTTTACGATGTTACATCATCATAATTCTTGTATTTTTTTTTTTAAAAAATCTTTTTTTTACCATCATTATATATATACACTTAACGGTTATATAAATATAAATATATTACTATCTTTCATTTACTTATTCTATAGTATCTTTACTTTTACTCAACCATTTTATTTGTCGATTACATGCTTGTTATGTTTTCGTTTCTCCTATTTTTTTTTCTTTTTATCCTCATTTTTATTATATACATATATATATTACTTTACATCATATATTATTTTATTACAGCGATACACATCATTATCATAATCATACAAATAAATATTGGGTATTTCCTTTCCTTTTTTAAGATTATATACATATTATTATTATCATCATATATATATCAATTATACCTTTATATATATATATATAAACTTATCCTCCTTTTTTTTTTCTCTCCACTTCTTATATCTTATTCACTTCTTTTTACACTTAAGAGATTTTATTATTGAGCAGGAGAATGTATCCTAGTAGGATACTAGGTTGTTTAGTTGTAGTTATTATTAAGGAGAAATGAATAATGTAAAAGAATTTTTTGTGAAAAGAAAAAAAAAAAATTTAATTAAAATATATCTATTATATCTACCATTTATGATATCTATCAATTTTGGGTGCAATGTTTGTTATCGTGCACAACGTAAATCATTTTGATCCTGATAAATATTAATGCAAGAAATATTTTGGCATGTGGGCAAATAGAAACATTTTTTTTTTAAAGGTAAACACTCGAGTACAATGACAGCTCCACTTCAAGTTGAAATAGCGTATCCCATAACAAAATATATATTTTCTGTACGATACGGATATCATCATATGGTTAATACAATTGATTTTTGTCACCTCACGATTATTTCATGTGTAACTCTCTTTTTAATTCAGAATTTCTAAATTTGGTAATTCCAAATTGAACTTTTAACAATTGAACGTTTTTTCTTTATTAAACTTTAGGGTGACGGCGCACAATTGAGTAAAAAAACCGATTGGGTAAGGTTTAACGATGGAGTGTAACGATTGTATCGAGTTTCAATTTCTTTGATGATGATTTCGTGTCTCATTGATGAAAGGTAATCGGACCCGGAATTAAAAATTATACTTGAACATATATAGTAAGATTTCCTGGAATTGAAATTAATTATCATCTCGCATTTTATATATATATATATTTCTTATATTTTATATTATATTTTATATATATTTACAGTATTTATTACTGAATGTCATTTCGACATATTGAATTATTTATCATATTGTTTAAATACCTAAAAGTGTACTATTTTAAATCTGAGATATGTTGAAAATGAACTTCCAAGATTATAATTTTAACTATAAATTTTAAACATTAGCGTTAGTATAAAAAGATGACGAGGGCAACGAAGTTATAGATTTTTAAAATCAAAAAAAAAAAAGGAAATTAATTAATTGTCATGATGGTGGTAGAATTCGAAGGTAAAAATTTTATCACGCGAATTCAGCAGTACATATAATATATAAGGATCCATTAT